GAGCGGGCGTGGGTGGCGGAGGCGTTTCGGACCCTGGAGCTGCGCGGTGTCTGGTGCCTGGTACTCACCGCTCTGCCCAGCCGGGCTGGTGGGATGGCTTCCCGGCCTCTCCCGCCTTCCTTGGAGCTGTTCCTTTCTCCCTCTCCAGGTCGTGGGCGAGGCGGAGTCAAGTTCCCACACTCAGGAAGGGTGAGGCGGGATTCTTCCCAGACCAGATTGTTTGAAGCCCAGCCTTTGGTTTAAGGGAATTTGAAAATTGAAAAGAAAAAGCAAACCCTGGCTATTCAAGGATCTTGAGTCGTGGTTAGCATGCAAAACAGCGCATCCCGGAGGCATAGCTTTCACCCGAAAAATCCCTTGGTTTTGCTTCTAAAAAACTTCCGTGGTATTTGTTGCAGTACTGTCAGCCGGGTACCTTTATGCAGGTGCCATAATTCCGTTCTCCCCAGTGCAAAAATGTACGTTTACCCCTTTGCCCCCTTTATTCAGTGCATGAGGCGATTTTCATAAGTACACACAGTAAGGACTTTGGGAAGGTTATGTGAAACTTGCCAAATTGCTTCCCCTAAGAAAATCTACTTACCATCTATAATAATAAAAGGGTAATATGCTAATTATACCTGACATCTTCCAGACATCCTTCTGAATGTCCTTCCAGACAAAGCCACCGTGGTGTGGGCAGGGGAGAGCAGTCAGGGTTGAGTAGGCCAGCAGGGGAAGGCAGTTAGGGGCAATCAGGCCTGCAGGGGAGGGCAGAAAAAAAAACCCCAAGGGGTCCCAGATTGAAGAGGGTGCAGGCTGGGCTAAGGGACCTCCCCCCCTCAAATGTGCACGAATTTCGTGCACTGAGCCTCTAGTCCAGTGGTTCTCAACCTGTGGGTCGCGACCCCTTTGGGGGTCAAATGACCCTTTCACAGGGGTCGCCTAAGACCATCGGAAAACAGATATATAATTACGTATTGTTTTTGTGATGAATCACTATGCTTTAATTATGTTCAATTTGTAACAATGAAATTGGGGGTCACCACAACATGAGGACTGTATTAAAGGGTCGCAGCATTAGGAAGGTTGAGAACCACTGCTCTAGTCTATAATAATAAAAGCGTAATATGCTAATTAGACCGCACATCTTCCAGACATCCTTCCTGACATCCTTCCAGACAAAGCCACAGTGGCAGGGCAGGGGAGAGCAGTCAGGGGCGATCAGGCCAGCAGGGGAGGGCAGTTAGGGGTGATCAGGCTGGCAGGCAGAGTGGTTAGGGGTGATCAGGAAGGAAGGTGAACAGTTAGGAGCCAATGGTCTTGGATTGGGAAAGGGATGTCTGGCAGTCGGACCTCCCCCAAGGGGCCCCAGATTGGAGAGGGTGCAGGCTGGGCTAAGGGACCCCCGCACCCAAGCATGAATTTCATGCACCAGGCCTCTAGTCTATAAAAATAAAAGTGTAATATGCTAATTAGACCAGATGTCCTTCCAAACAACCTTCCGGACAAAACCGGGGCTGGAGGGAAGCCCAGGTCCTGGGTGCCAGAGGAAAGCCCGGGGTCCTGGGTGCCAAGGGAAGGAAGGCCTACTCTTGCATGAATTTCGTGCATTGGGCCTCTATTCTATCTATATAAAAGGCTAATATGCTAAGTGTCCTTCCCTCCGACCAGGTAATGATGTCAAGTAGCAATACCTGGCTTCCTCTCCCTAGCCGCGACTAGCCTCCTTGCAGTTTCTTCAGCCCAGGAACATGGCTTGCTTTATAGCCAGGGGCAAACATTTTACACTTTAACCAAATATTTGTGAAGTGTTTTCCCATGCCTCATCTCATTTGATCCTCACCGAAGTCCTGGAATAGGTAGGTAGGAGACTTGGTGGAATCCTATTTTCTTTTCATTAGCTGGAAGATGGAGATTTAGAAAGCTTAGAAACTTGACCCGACTGAAAAGAAGTAAGAAATGATGGACCTTGAAAATGACTTCAGGTTTTCTCCCTGCTTGATCTACAATTATAATGTGCTTTGTGTTGATATTTACTGCTGTGTTGTCCACAATTAACTGAAAGAGAAGTTGGGGTGGTCCACTGGGCTGGAAAAAGTTTAGCTAAATCAGAAAGCAGGTCTAATTAAGAAAGTTTGTTCTCTATATATAAAAGGCTAAGTTGATTCACGCATGTGTGATACATATAAAGCTCTTGCTAGCGCCAATCGCACATGTGTGTTTCAATCTGTCATTGTCGATAGTGAATTTGGTTGACACTTCTATTATAGAGAAAGAGTGAATAGTGATATTAAAATATTTCTTCTGATTTCCTTTCAATGTGCACGAATTCATGCACCAGGCCGCTAGTATCTTTATAAAAATCCAGGTTATCCACTCATCTACTGATGGGCAATTGAGCTGTTTCCAGATATTGGCTATTGTAAATAATGTTGCTATGAACATATATTCTTTCTGATTGGTATTTCAGCTTTCTTAGGATATATTCCTAGAAGTGGGATCCCTGGGTCAAGTGGCAGTTCCATTTTTAATTTTTTGAGGAAACTCCACAATGTTTTCCATAATGGTTGCTCCAGTCTGCATTCCCACCAACAGTTCACTATGGTTCCCTTTTCTCCACGTCCTCGCCAGCATTTGTCATTTGTTGATGGTAGCCATTTTGACAGGTATGAGGCGATACTTAGTTGTTATTTTAATTTGCATCTCTCTGATGATTAGTGATGTTGAGCATTTTTTCATATGTCTCTTGGCCATTTGTATGGAGAAGTGTCCTCTTTGGAGAAGTGTCTGTTCCTGTCTGCCCATTTTTTAATTGGATTTTTTTGTCTTTTTTTTCTTGAGTGCTATGAGTACTTTATATATTTTGTTTATATATTTTGAGTAATTTATATATTTATCATTGGCAAATATGTTCTCCCAAAAAATGGGTTTCCTTTTCATTTTGATGCTGGTTTCTTTGCTGTGTAGCAGCTTTTTATTTTGATGTAGCCCCATTTGTTTATTTTCTCTTTTGTTTCCCTTGCCCTAGGCCAGTGATGGCGAACCTCTGACACGCGTGTCAGAGGTGACACGTGAACTCATTTTTTTGGTTGATTTTTCTTTGTTAAATGGCATTTAAATATACAAAATAAATATCAAAAATGTAAGTCTTTGTTTTACTATGGTTGCAAATATCAAAAAATTTCTATATGTGACACAGCACCAGAGTTAAGTTAGGGTTTTTCAAAATGCTGACACGCCGAGCTCAAAAGGTTCGCCATCACTGCCCTAGGAGATGTATCAGCAAACATATTGCTACGAGAGATGTCTGAGATTTTGCTGCCTACATTTTCTTCTAGGACTTTTATGATTTCACAACTTACATTTAAGTCTTTTATCCATTTTGAGCTTATTCTTCTGTATGGTGTAAGTTGGTGGTCTAGTTTCACTTTCTTTGTATGTACCTGTGCAATTATCCCATCACCATCTATTGAAGAGACTGTCTTGACTCCATTGTATGGTCTTGCCTCATTTGTCAAATATTAATTTAGCGTAATGGCTTGGGTCAATTTCTGGGGTCTATATTCTATTCCATTGATCTATATGTCTGTTCTTGTGCCAGGACCAAGCTGTTTTAATTACAGTGACTTTGTAGTATAGCTTGATATCTGGTATTGTGATCCCTCCAAGTTTGTTCTTCTTTCTCAGGATTGCTGCGGCTGTTCAGGGTCTTTTTGCATATACATTTTTGGAGTATTTGTTCTAGATCTGTGAAATACACTGCTGGTATTTTAATAGGGATTGCACTCAAGCTATAGATTGCTTTGGGTAGTATGGACATTTTAATGATGTTAATTCTTCCAATCAATGACCATGGTATATGCTTCCACTTTTTTGTGTCTTCCTCTATTTCTTTTTCCAATGTCCTGTAGTTTTCTGACTATAGATCTTTTACCTCCTTGGCTAAGTTTATTGCCAGGTATCTTAATTTTTGTTGCAGTGGTAAATGGAATTGCTTTTTAAGTTTCTCTTTCTGAGAGTTCATTATTAGTGTATGGAAATGCCATTGATTTCTGGGTGTTAATTTTGTATTCTGCTACATTGCCAAATTCATTTATTAAATCTAGTTTTTTTTGGTGGAGCTTTTAGGGTTTTCTATGTACAATATCATGTCATCTGGGAATAATGACAGTTTTACTTCTTCCTATTGAATTTGGATGCCTTTCATGTTTTCTTTATGTCTGATGGCTGTGGCTAGAACTTCTAGTACTTTGTTGAATAAAAGTAGTGAAAGTGGACCACCCTGTCTTATCCTGTTCTTAGGGGAAATGGTTTTAGTTTCTGACCATTGAGTATGATGTTGGCTGTTGGTTTGTCAGATATGGCCTTTATTATGTTGAGGTGTGATCCTTTTATTCTCACTTTGCTGAGAGTGGTACATTTACACAAGGAATACTATGCAGCCATAAAAAGTAGGATCTCTTACCTTTGAGATAACCTGGAGGGGTCTGGAGAATATTCTGCTAAGTGAAATAAGCCAGTCAGAGAAAGACAAGTATCACGTGATGTCACTAACATGTGGATCTAATGAACAAAATAAACTCACAAACAAAATAGATCCAGGGACATGGAAGCATGCAACAGACTGAGGATTCTCAGAGGGAAGGGGTAGGGGACCAGAAGAAACAACCAAAGAACTTATATGCATATATGCATAATCCCTGGATAAAGACAATAGTGTGGTGGAG